ATTCCAGGGAGCAATTGTTTAGTCGCTACGTGTAAATTATCACGAATTACTATTGCGTATCCATTTAGAATCTATCACCATATCACAATTCCCGGAATCCTGGTTACGGATTAGCAGGATCAATGTCGGCGCTAAGGTAGGACAAGCTATTTATATTTATCACTACTGATCAGTAATACTAAGCAGTTTTGTTATTTCCTCATACGAAGCCTTTAGGCCAGAACAACAGGGGGCGATACCGCGTCCGTTACCGCGGTCGCCGTCACCACGGAAGTCACCGAATGAGGATAGAAGGCAAAATGTATTTCAAAAATTTTTTAAACTCAGTTTTTTGACTACTCTATGTAGGTTCCTGGCCCTATCTATCGTGAATCGTTTTGAAGTAATGGGTCCCTGATTTCAGGGTTTAACTCGGCTTCCACAGGATGCCTACCGTGAACCCATTGTGCAGAACACGATGATCAATTCTGAACATCCCAATCCACGGAGATTCCATATTCCGGAAAAGAATCTCGTTAAAGAGATTCAACAAAAGGAACAGGAAGCGTTGAGGAAAATCAATGAACGTCTTAAGGTCTGTGGTTGTGTAAGTTTTCAACCAAAAAGTGTATAGTAATCTAAAATGTAAAAGTTAGTTGTTATCGAAGCTGGTCCTTATAAACTTATTAAAAAACACAGTTGTAGACTAGTAACCGAATTTTGTATTGCCCGGATTTCAAGAGGGTCAACAGATTCCGCGAGGGACACAGATGGAATAGGCATATAAGAATCAATACAATGGACTATAGCTTAGAGAAAAATGAAGAAGTGATCTAAAACAAGGAAAATAAAGACTGAGAATAAAAAGTAAGAAAAGTAAAACAGAAAAAATCTCCTTTTTTCCTTTTGATCTGTCAATATGCTCGGTTGAGGTCCCTCTTATTCAGCTGCGTGCACTTTTACCCTTTTGTTACCATTCACCTGCCATCTGGGTAAATATTGTCATTGGTATCAGTTATAGTATCGGTAAATATTTTTTCCGTACTGTCACTTCTTGTAAGGATAGGTTATAAAACAGAAACAACTTGACTAACTCAAATCCATTTCATACTTGTTTGTTTTCTAAGCAGTAACAACTTATAACTTAATGTGAACGTCCTGTCTGTTGTCTGGGACTAACAATGGGACGTGTTTTTTGAATTCCTGTGATGTCCCGCTCCTTTCTGCATCAACAGCAGATTTTTCTGATACTTCTTGCCGAACGAATAGTTGTCTATACTAGTATATTCTACCAGTTATTCCTCTTGTGGGTTACTCTCATTCTTGGCAATATTATGATGTAGTAGATTTCTCCTCCGCGTCATATTTAATTTGCCTTTTACTACTAACTCTGGCTAATTAACTAACTTTTACTACTAACTTACTAGCCACAACCTTGTGAGAATGCTTTTACTAACAAACCTTCTAAACAACAGGATCTACCCCCACCGGTCGATGAGGTTCGAGTTTACTTACCGAAGAAGCCAGTACAAGTTCCAGAGCAAGTATTTGCTGTAACAGAGCCGCCGCCATCACAGATCTATGCTCGTCCATATAGTTATGTCGGAGTTGAGGTATACTTACTACTTTACTAATCTAATACTTTTCGTGACTAAAATCGCTTTCTCTAACTTGTTATGCAGTATTCTAGTATTGTTGCAACTTTGACTATTACATAAGGGCTTCATGTTATCATTATCAGAACAAAACTTCCGCAAAATATTTTGATAAACTGATAACAGCTTTAAACAGTACAACCATAATCCTGAAAGTTCATATTTTACATAAGTACTGATTAACTGGTAGAACAGCAGTATTGATCGCGCTGTGAGCATTGCCTAAACAAGCGAAACATTTTCTCACCTGATTGTTGCAGGAAAATGTTGATTGCTGGAAGCGATCAGTGGTCAGTTGCCCAGTGCTAATCAATATCAGCTTTGAGATGCGCTATGCATTTGATCTCTACTCAAGATTGTCCTAATCATTGGTCGGTAGCTCGCGAAAATCAGCCAATTTCCAAAAACCGATTTTACACTCCTGCAACCTGGTCTGTATCAAATAACCAATGACAAGGGGATTTAAGCACTGGCTTGCTGGGACAGGTTTCACCCTCAAACAGTAACCTTCTTCTGCCGTCGCCAATTCTGGACCAATACAAATCTACTATAATACCTACCTCAGAAAACCCTAAATACCCTCAAAGTCTTCGGGCATCAATAAGTCTCTTTTCTATGTCAGCTCAGATGTTCCCCTGATTTGTTCACATCCCTAAACGAAACCATTTCGCAGCTGAATAATTAAGCTTTGCCTAGGCCTACTCCATGTTTTTGGTGATTTTTTTTTTCAAAGATTTTTGGTGACTTTTCTATCAGTACTCGCTTGGGTAGTACGATATCTAGTTCGGTTTCAGATTTATAGGACAAAATCTTTCGAAATCCCTTCATGGGTAGATTTCTAGGTGTACCTAAGTTGTGTGGAATATATCCTGGCCAAAGTACGTAAATAAATGACAGATGTACATAATGTAGTACTGTTTATTATAATATAAAATAACGATTTTGTTGCAAAATGGCCCTCGTTCACCAACTCCTGTTCCCCTGACTTGGTTTCATGGGTGAGATAGTGTCTAATAATTTGTCTTCCAGATTGGGTCGTCATAATTCCCATTTTTCTCCGCTCAGATTTTCGTAATGACGCCCTTAATGAGCCATTCATTACGGGTTTATTTGAGCGAAAAAATTCTCAAGACATCGTCTCTGTGTATATTCTATTAGCAGGCTGGAGTCCCAGACATGTTAGTCGCAAAAGGTTATTAATTTTCCCAGGAAAAAAATTGTTTCGTTACTCTCGCAGAGTTCATTTCGTCAGTCTCGCTTTTGTAATCATGGGTTTTTGGCTACGCGAGCGCTATCCATCTTGTTGTTTACCGCCAGTCTGCGATTTTACTGAAAAAAGTTTTGATTAGTTCAGTTTTGTCTTAGCGGAAGGTACCATTATCATCCTAACCTTGTAACGAAGATCCGCCCATATCAAAATGTTTCCGATGGGAGACCAAATTCTCTACGACTAACCTATAACAAGGAAAGATCTCCCATACATAGCGCTTTGGCCGAGGATCTGAGTATGAACTGGTAACAGGGTTTAGTCAAGGTAGACGTTTGATTTACTGATAGCAGTTGCGAAGTAAGTTGTACAAATTGAACCCGGTCACTTACAATAACGCTTGTATAAATTCACTGAACACATGCAATGACAATGTGAAGAAATACTACGGCTACGAAGACAGACAGTCATGAGTTACTGCGGAGTAATGATGAAGAAACTGTATTAGTAAATATTTTTTCATTCAGCTGACTTACACAGAAATAGTCAATCAGCAATACTTCCTTTATACCGCTTTTACTTTTTATTCTCCCTACTTCAAATTTCAGAGCGAACCACCTGCAACCGAATGGATCTATGAGGGTGAAGTTGAACGACCACAAGATCATTTGGATCGCTCTCGCAGCCCTGCAGCTTCACGTATGATTAATTAGCCGTTATCTCATACGTTTCAAAAAATCAATACGGATCAATATATGAAATAGGGATTTACTTAATTATTATAGAGCATTTTTTCAGTACAAGTAATGCCTCAGCAGTACGATGTTGATACAGGAAGCACAGGGAACAGTAGTCAGAAGCCGGCTGTACGCTATGTTAAGCAGCCTTGGAAGCTTACGATAAGGAAGGAGGTAGGCTGACATGTTAGGGAATTAGCAACAGAGGTATGCATACCCCTATTGCCTTCTTGAAATAGGGAGGATAGCCCTGGTAGGCGGAGGACAGCCCTGGTATTAATGGGGAGGATGGCTCTGGAAGGCCTAATTTTCCAGGGCTGTTAAGAAATTTAATTTATTAAAAATTCTTCTCAGTGGGATGCGGTCTACAAAAACAAAATCGGATTGAGCAATCAGTGGGTATTTAAGTACCGATTGTGCCTGTACTAATTGATTTCTATTGAAGTTTTCCTACCTTGCAGTGCGCTTGTTTATGTTTACTCTCATTTGTGAAACCAACTTGGTTTCCTCTTGATATTGTCCTACCCTTATAATTAGATACACTTCAGTGACTAGGTAAACAAGTAAGCAGAATAGCACCTAAGATGACGTCATCTCGATTTTCAGATGTTCTATCCCCAAGAAAAGTTGGATGACGTGAACGTGATCAATCAGGTGTTCGCTCAGATCATTTCTGACTGCCGGAAGGGTATAGCTTACCGTATTCGAGCCTATGAGAGAGATGATGTTGTCTGTATCCTAAGTAAGTATCTAGTAATCAAAGTTGTTATTCTGGCAACACCTTTGAGTATGATCATGGATTATCTTTCAGAATCCAACAATATCCCTCCAGAGCTTTTAAACAGACAGGATGAGATTCCTGTCGATGTAAAAGTGGCTGTTATCACTGCAGCTCGTAAATGGCCGCTCTACTTTACACAGGTTTACGAGGTAAGCGGTACAATCATTCGATATTACTAAACTCCCAAAAGTAGTACTTACTCCCTACTCCAAGGTTGTCGAAGAACGTCTTGACGAGTCCGTGTCGGTATTACTCTCGATCGGTGAACATGGCATACGATTACTTCTCCATACGCCTTTAGAAAAAGAAAACCCACTGAAAGCACAGGATCACTTGAAGTAGGAATTGACTGGTAGCTAACAGTAATCAAAACTTACTGAGGATTCCGTTTAGTTTCTCCGATCTGGCGGATGTAACACTGGAAAGCGATGAACTACTCTGTTTACATACTCGTAATGGGATTAGTATTCGATTGCGAACGAAGATGGCACCACAGATCAAAACACAAATCGATAAGTGCATGTTCGGACAAGTTCAGGTACATGTTTCTCATACGTGACCGCGTTGAGTAACCGCGCGCTGCGGTTTGACGAGGCAGCGGACCAATCGATAAGTTAGCGCCTTGAAATACTTTATTTTTACTGTTAAAGCGGAAGAAGTTTGTTCGAGCCACAGCGGACTATGTAACGAAACAACCAAATCTGCTGTCATTCAAGAAGGGCGACACGATCGAATTGGTAATTCTTAACAAATTAATGGATACTGTTTGGGCCACAGATAAGCTGATGTGCTCCGCTCAGGTTCCACTACCAAATGGCGAAGTGGTCCCATCAGGATCGTGGTTGTATGGGAAGATTGGCAATCGATACGGAAGCCTTCCTGCACAATATGTTATTCCACTCGACGAACACAATGTTTGTTGTCAATCGCTCGCAGATTATCCAATCGATAACGCTGTTTTACAGCGTGAAGTCGAAGATTTACCGTCGACATTACCGTTAGTGTACGATGATGTCATGGACGATGTCGGACATATGAATGGCTCTAAATACACAATGCTAGAATTTGCTCTGAATCACTTCCGTGGACCGAAGGGATCTGATCCGTCGTTGAAGAGAAACAGTAAGTGAAAGCCTATTTCAAAAAAGTGCAGAATTTCCTCGCTGTTTCGAAAGCAGTAAACAGTTCCCGCGCAAAAAGTGCATATTGATCTTGTTGTTTACGCTTTCGGAATGTTGCGTAACATTGATAAAATGGCATATGTGAAGGGTTAGCGATCATGTATGATACAACCACCAATGTTAGAATTTATATGCAGTTAACATTGTCCCTAGCAGCTTCTCAAATAAAAAGCAGGTGATATTATTGATTGGCTACGTCGAACAATTTGCTTAACCGCAACGCGGCCGCTCGCCGTTGCAAGTATGTCCGGAGGTATTGGCAGCGATGCGCGACTGTCTTCTACCATTATAAGCCATCATACTTGTGCTACTACATTTCTTTCACCTTATAACACGTGAATTGAAATATTCAGGAAAAGAATGGACGTGGCAGGACGTTGCTCATAAGATCAAGTTCACAGACAAACCGATCTCGCATTCGTTGATTCGCTTTGACTCCAGCGAGCTTGATAAGTTGGCCTGCGAGACATTTATGTGTTAGTTCGAATGACTAGTTTTAACTTTTTTTAAATTTTATCGATTAATTAGTAGTAACCAGTTGGTGATTTATCTTCTTCCAGGTACAAACTGTTATACATAATGGACAGGTGTTTAGGCATTATGCGTTACATGGGAGATGAACCAATTCGACGAGGTGAAACAATAACTGACGCCGTTTACCGTCTGTTACTAATTTGTCATAAAAATCCTGCACTACGAGACGAAGTCTATTGTCAGATTATTCGCCAGACCACTAACAACAAATCTAACAAGTAAGTCTCAATTATATTTGTTAGTATTGATTTTAAATCGAGTACGGTTTTTTATTTCCTTTCTTGTTTTGAACATTTTTTGTGCCTGTGCTTGGTTCGCTTGTGATTGGATGGTTCCAGGAAACGCCAATCACAGGTGTCCTTGCTACTCTCCAACCCGGAATTATTTAGGAATAGTGATGGTTTATAGTGTCATATTGATGGGCTTGAATGAAATATTTCAGGCCAGACAGTTCGATTCGGGGATGGCGATTGTTCTCGATACTTACAGCTTACTTTGAGAGTTCTTTAGCTCTACGACCTTACCTTATTAACTACTTGGCTGAGAATGCTGACGATCAAAGGAGAGCTTATCACGGTACGTTACATAGTTGTATAACTTTACAAACTATGAATTTCGACCATTTTTTGATCTATTTTTTGGCATTGAACTTTAATATGGTTTTAGGAACTGCCCAGTTGTGTTTGCAAAATTTGAACCAGACCATGCGCTATGGTGGCCGAAAGTACTTGTTGAGCGGTATGGAAGTTGAAGAAATTACTGTACGTCAAACCAGTTTTGCAAATTGTTCGACTGTTTCGTCACGTGATTTTCTTTCAGAATGGCAAAATACTGAAACGCCAAGTCTACACACTTCCTGGTGGTAACAAGAAAGTTGTGAACACGAAAAGTATTACCGTAGTAGAGGAAGCCATCAGAGTAGGGCCTTATGTTACATTTGAAATTTACATAAAAGCAGTTTTGTAACTGGAATGTTAAAGTACTAATCGAGTATGTTTAAGGAGTTGTGTTTGGAGCTCAACATTCGAAGTCCATCGGAACAGCAGGAGTTCTGTCTTTGCTATGTGCTCGAGAAAGGTACGGTTTTACTCCTTCACGCTGTCCATTTTTGATCTACTGATTTTTTACATACTTGTAAAATCAATGTAGTAAGACGTTTCCAGATAATCGAACTGAATATTGTGCAAACGATGATTACATATTGGATATCTGTACGGAACTTGAACACAAACGTGTGCCATTCCACTTTTTGCTAAGACGCTGCACTTGGGTGCATCCGTTACGACTTGATCACCCAGTGTACATTGATGTAATGTTCTTCCAGGTAATTAGAGGTTTTCAGCACTAAATTACGGTGTGTTCAACTGGACATGGCCAAAAGGCGATGTGTAAGCCCAGCGTAATAACGGAAGTGTCCCCTAAAAAGTCAAACTGAGTGTAGTGCATGACAACCTGTCAGAAGGCAGAAACAAGCTCCGACGACGTGGGAACAAAGTTGTTCTGCAGCCTTTTGTATTGGGAAGCAGAAGAAATCTTCAAAGTTTCTCACAAGCTGGTTATTGCCCATCCGGGTAGTTTCTCTTATTTAGGAGCAGAAACTTCTACACGCACGCTTTAGTTTTTTGAATTCCTTGGCTTTACCAAACCATGGATAACATCCATTCTCTTTGTTGGGCTCTTTGGGAGGCCAAGTTTTCCCAGAAGTGAAGCTGGTATGGTTCAACATCTGAATGCTCTGATGCTACAGAAATTTCCACTGCCGAATTACTGTAGTACATTCAGACTGTTAATCACCTGAATGAGAAATAAAATGAGGCCATAAGTGAGAAAAGGCAAAATGGACCATATTTTGTTAAAATGAGAGACTTTTCACGATTTCAGGTGGTTCCTGATTACCTGCAAGGCTCTCTCCTTACGAGACAAGCCAGTGGCCACATGAGTGCGTCAGTATGTGACGATGTCACCAAACTTGCAGCCTATCTTCACATGGCTGCCAACGAAGGACAACGGATAGCTGTGACACCGTACGCCTACCGTATTTGTGGTGCTGTATAACCAAATTATAACTAACTGAGTTACTTTTTTTAGGAGAACAGTACAGACAATAGTGCCGGCACCAGTGTTGGAGTATCCATCCCCGTCACCTGATTCGTGGGCTTCGAGAATCAATCGTCAACTACGGACCATGAATCCGAATACTACGGCCACACAGGCTAGGGCTGCTTTCTTAGGTACTTTGAAATTTATTCTATCTTCCCGGAACAGTTTTACTCGACTTTCATATTAAGTATGTCATAATACGAACACAGTGAACTTAGAGTTAGGGCTTGTGTAACCATAGGGAGCTATAGAAAGGGGGGTAATGCCACCAGCGAGAACACGAATGGGCACTGAACTAGTGCTAGAAAGGAAGTAGAGAGGAACCAGGAGGAACTGATGATTCAGAAATTTGTGCTCGCTCTAATTATTGAGAAAAAAAATTTCATTTTTGTGCTCTATCAAAGTGAGTGATTCCGCCGTCCTGGCAAGAGTGCGCCACACATCTGGTAACAGTTAGACGATAGGTTTTCGAGTTGGTTATTTCCTTTGTTTGATGACTTCTGTTAAATTTATCCCCTACTATTGTTTATATTTACGCTATGGATCACTTATTCCTAAAGTTTTCGAGTAACTTCCAAGCCTTGTCCTCATGGCGCCGTCCTTCGTCGCCTTTCCTTTTCCTGAGCGTATCTGTCGTTTCGAAATTTCTCGAGCAATCGCCTTCGATGGTGAAACGGGGATCAGTTTATGGCAAACCTCGTTTGGGTCGTTTTCCTTTACCACTAGCGGAAGAAATTTGTCATGGAAAGATGTCGACGTAACTCACGTAGGGAAGCACGTGAAAAAATGACCACTGAAGTGTATGAGTCCGTTAGAGGGCGTGTCTGACAAGCAAAAACGTGAGAGAAGGGAAAAGTCCAACGCTCTTTTGGCAGACGGCACGCACTTCCTCCTCATTCCTCTGATAGAAAACTGTGTATTTTGGAAAACGGCTTCATATGACAAACCATCCATGTGACTGCCAGTACTTGCCATGAAGCTGATCAGAAAAGTCCAGCTAGTTCGTGCAGCCGTTTTTCCTCTGTTCGTTGTTACCTCTAGAATCTGGTCTTCCCACAAGAATATCGCCCTTTTAGTAAACGTTATAGGGGCCCGGATAAGCCCATCAGAGATGTCGCCAAGAAAGTGCCAGAAGAGATTGAAAAGTGCTGGGCTCCAGCTCACTAAAAAAAAGAATCAGTGTCGGTGTCACGCCAAGTTTCTGACCTGTCCCTTGCTCTGATCAACCTGCAAATCCTCCTTGCATCAACCAACCGAGTTATATCGTGTAATCCTCAAGAGAAAAGTCAAAATTCCTAGGAAAGTTCGGGAAAGCTGCCAGAGAAAGTCTGGACCGAAATTTTCCAAGAAACTTGAACCGCCGACTAAACGAACCCAAGCTTGCGAGCTATCACCCGAAATAAGCGCTCACATGGATTGATATCCTGTTGTCGCAGTAGAATGATCATGAAGGATGATGGGTTTGCAACAATTCCCTGTGCTTCCTTGCAAGGTCACTTTGTTACTATATTTATACTGCATATTGTAAATGTAATTTACGCACATTACAACACGACGTTACTGTGTACCATAATTATATATGTAATACTTTGTGAGTAAAAAATTCTTTATAGAAATATTATCTACATGGCCTTTGTTCGGTAGCACGATATTCCGACTGGACGCTGCATCATTTGACGGACGAGCTCTCCCACCGGTTGAGCTGGCTGTTGGTAGGACTGGCGTCAAGCTTCTGGAGCCACGAAGTAGGGACGTCGTTGAGCACTGGCCATATGATAAGGTAGATCTAATCCGTTCCATTGAGCAAATCTGTCCACCGGTGGTTGGACTATTAACAAGTATATAATTTAGTAAGTATCCCATACGGATATTCTTTTGCAGATAGTTTCTGCGGTCACTGGACATCGCGATACAGTCGTTGAGATGGTTGTTGGCACTCCCTCATCAAATCGTACCTACGAATTCCGTACAAACGAGGTTAGCCCCTTCAGTTTACTACCACTTTTTCTTTTTTTGCCATTTGTTTATTTGTTTGTGCCGCGTCAATCCTTATCTGAGGGGTCCAAGAGCTTCTAGAAAGTGGCTTCGCCCAGTAATCCCAACCTTCATTAGGTACTTGAAAGTTAGGGGTCTCTGTCAAAAAGTGGGGGTTGACTTGATTTTCCAATGATTCTACACCATAAAGCACGTTACAAATGAACCTTGGACTGTAATTTTTCTATTGACTTTTCTTTTGACCTACCTTTGATCTATACAAATTCCAGAGCTTGGCAATAACTCGACTAGTTGGGCAGTACACCTTCATTGTCAATGAAAATCGTGGATTATTAAATGATTGATTGATATAAATAGATAAATTTAACAGTAGTAGTCTTGAGATTATTTTAAAATGTATATGTGATTATTTATGTGTGATGTATGACCTCCGTTTTCATGAAAATGTAAAGGGTATGAAGCGGTGAGTTGAGGCAATATAGTGAATGAATTCATTCAGTACAATATATTATGCGATATTGTTACATTCAAAAATGCGTTAATAAAGATATAC